TAATAATTTTTGGCCCGTCGTTAAAAAATATTTCTAATTTAGTTCTTGCTCAGTTTATGTGTTTGATAAAAATTTTAACCTTCAAGACTATAAGACAATTTATTAACTGAAAGCGGAAATGTATGAAGAAAGATATTGCGGAAATTCATACCATAATACAACCATCCAGTAATAAATTTTAAAGTAAATTCACTACTGAAGAATAATAAAGATGCTTTTCAATCAGTAAAATAATTATTTTTGGTCGCTTTGCGCACAAAAGCGCTATTCCATAGTAATTGAGAATTAATGACTTATTTAACATTAAACATATAAAACATACATCTTTATGTTTGAATATTTGAAATGATGAAGTATGAATAAAAGTGTTAGATCCGTAAGTTCTTTATGATTCTTTAAAACCCTACTTCATCATTTTTTTCTTTCCTGTACATGCCGGCACACAGCATGACATTACAACTAAATGATATATGTATAGTATGGTATATACAACTGAAATGAATACATATAATATGTATACCTTGCATAAAAGATACAACAGTAAGTTTGATATATTTACAGCTGATGTATTTGACGAATCCACAACCACCGTTATAACATACCTTTTCCACCCATTTTCAACATATCTTAAATCAAAAACTTACCTTTGTAGTTGTTGAACTTGAGGATCACGCATAATGTCAGGGTCTAGATCACGTTCTTTATTGTGGTAATCCATAGTACTATCATCAACTGCATTATATTATACAAAACATATGAGCCAAATTTCAAATGATTATATATGTATAGATATTGGAAACTAAAGACACTTACCAGCAACACTGTGAACCTTTTTTCTTCTCACGACACCGTTTATCGCGGCATCATTGGTCATATCTGATAGAAAAAAAATAGAAACGTTAACTTATATATAACTATAATTATTTATTTTTAGAAGTAAACAAATTATGCAAACCAAACGTCATGTAAAATTCAGATAAAGAAATAATATAGGTTTCTCAAGAGTATTCTACACATGTCGAAATCATCGATACTCCGATACTTGAAAATTTATTAAATCACTAATTACAATAAATTATTATATAATCTAATAATTTTTAATATTGGAAAATGAGCAGTTATAAACAAAACTTTAATATATGAAAATAAAAAAAGCAATACATACCCCTATCAATAGATGTCGAATCTAATGGCAGGTGAGTAGGTCTGGGAGGAGCAGACATAGGCCTTTCCAAAAGTTCTTCTGTCGGTTCAACGTTCATTTTCATTAAATCCCTCATCCGTGGAGGTTTTACTGGAGGCGTGCTATTACCTTCTGAAGGTATTGTCTCATAAATGGCTTCCGATGATGCACTTGATGCCACTGTTTTTGACAATAATTCATTGTCATTAATGACTTGAATGCGTAACAAAAAAATTAGTAATTGTTATTAGTATATCCACATCCTTTACAATAACTAATAATGTAAAAAATGGTATTAAAACATCAGTACTAAACGTTTTGTGAGGGATATGCTTTTTTAGATGTTTAATCCGAATTACCCTCTTTATAACTAGATATAAGTAATCATTAACGTTTCTATGTAACTAGATGATAACAACTTAAGTTGTATCGGGATTAATTATAAATTTTAATCAAACCGGATATTCTTTATAATACATGTCAAGAAAAAATCTTTAATCACTTCGGTACAAGCGACAAGTATACTTGACGGCCACAGAATGCCCCACACAGCCCGGCGCCGGGCGTCACGTTTAGTGGACGTTGCATGCCGGCTGTAAGCGACCAATAGGCGCCGTAACAAAGTGGTTAAATGATTGAGTTAAAATGCCAATATCAGTAGTATTTTAACTTGTATGCATAGCAATAAAGCTTTTGCTACAATAGTAAATACCAAATAAATATTTATAAAGCAAAATAAAATGTTGTTTTTAAATCACTTACCTGCAGGTTCCTTTTGGGCAGCTATATATGACTCAGGGCGTATTCGATGTGATCGCCTCGATTCTGTCGTCGTCTGAGATTCAGCTGAATGGGAACGTACACGCATTTGTACAGCTTCCATAGGACTCTCTATCGTAAAACAACAAAAATATTAAAATGCATTCAAAAATACCTAGCAACCTAATTTGCAATTAGGATTTTAAAATTCAAACATCCAAATTTCCACGGGCAGCTGTGAAATAAAGCTTTTGCTGAGTAGACACATATATAGGCTTTTACTCAAAATTACAATAAAAATGCAAGTTAGAATATATACGTGTCACATTCTATTTTTCAAATGCTGTTAAATACAAGACCAGACACAAAATAGATTTATCAAATCCTAATACTAAATGCATCCTAGTTCATCGGTGCACAACATTGAGAATGGCCCTGCGGTTATTTTTAATTGAATATAGAAACATAAAGAGCGACATCATATTAACATAAAAGTTCTGCCCTGCACATTCACATATATCACTAATCTACATTTCTCCCATGCAAAACAGTGTGATAAGCTTTCGATAAATTCTTGGGTATATTAAAAAATTTCACTCATATGGAATTTTCATGTTTCTTTAATAATTCAAATAATTTGCTGTGCCGAAAGAAAAATACACCCAACGCCAAAAATCCTAATTTGCAATTCATATATGATTTCTTGCACGTTAACATTTATCTGGAAAAGTTATTTCATCATGCATTGCAGCGCATAGAAATCAAAATATTGGTGTTTCAATACCAAAATATCAAAAAAAATATATCACGGCAACATGTTTATAAACAATATTCTGTATTAACTATTTTTGAAATGTTTTCGGGAAAAGGGGACTGCGATGTAAGAAATTCAATAATTAAAAATGTGTGCAAATCTAAAAAATGGGGACTGTGAGTATGTTATCACAACATCAATTTGTCGTCTGCGTGTGTTTTCACTACCTCTATCAGGAATAATTATCTCAGGTATCGGGGTCTTGCTCTGACGAATGGTAACACCCATTAAAACAACTCTATTTCCGCTCAATCCAGAAGGACGTACGGCTTTTTTGGCTGTTGCGCAGCCCATAATTAAAATCGAAAATATTGATCAGTAAACACTTATTAACTGATAAACAATTCGTGAATACAATTGAACATTGGACAAATACAAATGCAAAAGTTTTGGTTTGCAGGACAATATCAATTTTATCGACAACCATTACTAATTATTTCAGAGGCCTATTACACTTTATAAAATATAAACATACATTTTAAATAGAATATATCCTCAAACTTTAAATATGACAAGTCATCTATCAATCTTCTGAACAAAATTTTATAAGTTGGCAATGAGAAAAATGATGAAAATGGTATACCTGAGCTTTCCACAGACCGACTTTCGCGCCTTCGTCCTTCACGTTCATATTCTTTCGCCCTTGATTCAAACTCTTTCCTTCGTACTGATACATGGGGTACAGCTTTCTCCCAGCTTAACCTTAAATATAACAAATAGGTAAATAAAAATTGTGAAATTTAAATTAGAAAAAAATAATTAGACGGTAAAATAGGTATATGAATAATTACCTGCTCAATTCACTTCTATATAAACTCGTGCGATCTTCTGGAATACCCTCTGGAGACAAAGGCCGACCTGATTCAAATTGACGGGATAATGTAGATACTGTTTGGAGTCCGATGAAGGCACTGAAATATCAATAGAAGTATGGGTTTTTTGAAGTTTGGTAAATTGTATTGCGCCATACATAATTGGAATTTAAAATTTTGTTTACTCGTAATGACATTTAACATAATTAAATTCACGAAAAAGTTTAGGGTTTAAGTAAAATGGAGTTTTGCCAAAAAATCCAATATGCTAATTTTATGTTTTCTCGACGTTTCAAGTCATCCTAAAATGACTGACAAATTTTGAATAAGTATGTATGTGTATGTGAGTTGTTTTTGTACTTTTCGTCGACGTTTTCTTAAAAACTGCTAAACCTCAAAAATTTTAAAGCCATTCAATGTCACTCAACAAGTACTTCTTTATCTAGCGCCCTCGTTATAGCCCACAATATTGAATCGATTTAAAAATTCAAATATTGTTCGAAAGATATGAGAATCGTATTTGGTAAAGATCTGCCGAGCCGTTTATTCCTAATTACGTGTTGTAAAATTTGTTATAAAGATTAGATTTCGTAGTCTGAAATAACATACTCTAAATTTTATAGGTCATACTAAATTATTATAGCAGTTGAGTTGTAAAAATTCCTCAAAGTTTAAAATTTCGCCGCGCGCTTTAGAATAGATTCTCATTAGAATCGCGCTTCGTAAATAGCTACTGATTACAGTACACATGAACAAAATACATTTTTAGAACTAAAAATAGAGAAAATAAAATATGTTAAACAAACTATATTTATACAATTTCACATATTTTAAGAATGTTTGAAGGACATCAATTAGAAATCGTATTGATTGTTATCGTATTGGTAGTGAAAGCGAAAATTTTATTTTCCAAATAAACAGTTAAATAATATACCTAAATAGCTGAACTCAAAACTCGTATCGGGAAGAAAAAATGATTTAGTTTTTTATGACACGAGTCTATTAGATTTTGATTATTTCAATGATTTTTGCAGCTATTCTTGATCTTGAAAGCGTAGAAAAAAATCTTTTTTTGCTTGTTCATTTCGTGATTTTTTTCAATTTTTAAATTCCTCGTATCAAATGATAGCCAAAGTAATAAGAAAACTAAATCATTTTGTTATTTTTTGTTTCAATCAACTTTCATAAGCTAAATAGCGTCAACCGTTTTGGTGAATATTTGTCGTTTCAAGGTCAAATCACGATCAAATGAGAGACAGTAAAATTTATATTGGATGTGTAGAAATAAACAAGTTAATGCAACTAATCGTATCTTGATTGCATTATTGGTTTCCCTACGATTCATTCTCAAAAAACAGCATTAAAAACGAGACCACAAAGTAGAATACCCACTTAGGGCAAAATGCCACCTATAATTAGTTGAATATCTCACCTTTTATCATTTTCTTCAATGTCAGCTGTACTAGCGTTTTGACTATCAACAACACCAAGTTCTCGCATTTTGGTCGAAACGGGGCTGACGACTGAAGGTTGCTGTCCGGCAGCAGTTGTTCCTGAAGAACTCCTGATGGATCCGTTTCTGGTCAACGGAGTTTCTGAGTGCGTTGCAGATGCACTGCCAGCAACATCATCGAAGGGTGGCCAAATTGTGTGCCTCAATTTCTGAGGACGTGCATAGAATTCTTTCTGTTGTATCACACTTTCTGCAAGAAAAATAAATTATGAACATTTAATGTATATATAATAGTGAGAATAATATTATATAAGTAATGTATTCAAAATTATTTAAGACTAATTAATTTGTTTATCAATAATTATTAAATTTATACTAAATATTATTTATAATTTCAGATTCATTTTCTAGCTTACACTAGAAATATTTATATTCATTACTTGTTATCTTATCACTTTCATATTACCGCTTTTTAATTATGCATATAGAGTATGATTGCAATATACCGCCAAATAAAAAAAATATAAAAAAATCAATATTAGTTACGTCGTTATTCTTTATTACATATAAATATTTTAATGAAACTGTGGTTGACTATACAATTTCAATATGGCTGCACGTCTGGTGTCTAACAATGACTGAATTTCCAACTAGATTAACACTTATATAATATATTATACAATTATTATTATATAGTATACCAACAACATAAAAAATATATCTCAAATACAAATAGCATCTGGTCCACAAGCTGAATAAAAAACTAATACGCAAAAAACAACAAATATTCAAAAATTTAATTTATCAATAATATTGGAAAGCACTATTATCAAAGTCTAAATGGAGTTAAATTAAACATCTGAAGCCAGTGATTCTAATTTCTTCTTAGTTTCAACTTATATAATCAATTTCGATAATGAAAAAATACTAATATATCTTAAGCAACGTATTTTTGTACGGGTCATATTTGCGTGGCACGATTGATATACTTATAGTCATCTATAATCATATATGCGCATATGACATTTTAAAACACTCTTTGTTCTCAAAATGTTAAAATTCCTGTTCATTTAGTTGCCTTTTGTATACTTACAAACACGTGCAAATTGAATATAAACCCACCATAATTGTATTGCCAGTTCTTTATTAAAAATCAAGCTCAACATAGAAATTTTATCCATGAAGAGACTTGGAGGAATATCAAATAGAATTTTTGTCCCAAGAGCGTAACACTACGTACTTTTGTTTTAGGTTTGTAATTATAAAATTATCACAGTTATGCAAAATGCTTGACTGCGAATAATTAAATATATTATTAATTTATACAACATCAGATTGCTTATAATATTGCAGTAATAACAATGAATGTATCCATATTTCAAATTGAATTTAACAATATTTGAATCACTTTGCAAACACTTTTCTAAAATAATTGATCCTTCATAATTATACTATGCTGTAGAAGTAATGTACGTGTACTGTTCAAGCCTGTATTCTTTACGGAATTTGTTTTTAATTTTGATATCAGACTTTTGATTGGCAATGACGTGTAGCTAAAAAATGTATTCTCGCATGTGTCTTTGTTTTCATTACCGTTTAAAATTAGTTAGGACTCTAGTCATCTCATAATAATTAGTAAGAATTATAATCAATTTGAAAAAAACCTATTTGCTATTATATATTTTGACACTGACTCCATGATCACATATTATGTTTAAACTAAGACCCTAAAATATTATACTGTATCAAATTATTATGAAATTTCGGTGATATATGATACGAACTAGCTGTTTTGCTAGTTAATATAAAATTAGTCTATTTATATGTTTATAATAAATTAATAATATATTGCAACTCGCTCCCTATAATACCAGCGATGCTGAATATATATATGATGATTAGTAATAAATAAATTTTAGTAAGTAATTGTAACTTTTAAAATAATTGACTCAACGAATGCAAGTAAAGTTAATTTGGATGTAATAATGAAACCTTATTTAAATTATGTCAGATATTTATGTTCAAGAAAGCTAACTTCACATTAACCAATCTGCAAAAAAAACAACATCTCTACTACAAAACAATACACATAACTCTAATACAAAATTTCCAATCAAAAGTAGCATTTTACTACAAGTGATCCGATTCATGATATTTTTTCTGATCACAACCAACTTAGAAATATTCAAAATCTTATTTACAAATTAAACAAGTTGGAAAGATTTGTGGGAATCGAGGAGTCTGGGCGAATTTGATAGAAATAAATGTTCATCACATTTTGTAAAGTTTCATAATTATATATTTTAATATATTTTTATAAACATGGAAATATCATTATGAATTTATATATTTCTATATTGATTACGTCGGGGTCACCAATATAAAAATATATAAATTCATAATGATTTTCCATGTTTATAAAAATATATTATAATGTATGATTATAAAACTTTACAAAATGTCATGAACATTCATTTCTATCGAATTCACCCATGCTCCTTGATTCCCACAGATTTTACAAGTTGTTAAATTCGATGGTATCTATTTTGCTACATTGACTTATAACTTGTGAGAGAAATAGAACTTATTGATACCAATTAATGACTATGAACAGTTTGCAAAAGTTTTACACACAAAACTTAAAATCCTTATTGGAGAGGTAAAAATGATTAAATTGGATTAAAAACATCTTTCAACTATTAACAAACTACTAACTTTTAGTTACATAGCAAAGAAACTCTTCCATATTCGTAGTAAAATGGGCTAAAATGTTTAAAATTTCTCAGATATGAAAATAATAAAATGTCACCTACCGTCTGATTTTCTCGTGATACTGCCATTCATCGAAATCGACGACTCTTGAGTCGAAGGTAAATATTGTATAGGTTGGCTTGGCCTCCTAAGAAATTCTTCCTTCTGTTCAAAGCTTTTCCGTAGCCTATTCATCATAGGTGAATCCTCCGGTTCGCCTCCACCACTGCGATTAGTGACAGTAGAAAGCGAATCATACGAGCTCAAACTATTGGCGTCTGTGTTCGATGAAGAGGCGAGAGAGGCGCTGCTTTCGCGGCGGGCCTCGTGAGCCATAATCGGCGAATAGCTGCATGCAGGAGGTGGAGCGTTTACCATCAAAGACGTCCTGATCGGCCGATAAGAAAGATGGGTTTCCGGAAAATTCGACGTCCATGGTGCGGGGTAGGGTCTAATAAACGAGACATATAAAATGATAAATCATAAATAGTAAATAAAAACCATGTTATAAACTTTACCTGCACATTAGTGCAGAACTTTGTTGCTGTTTAACTGGACTTCCTGAATAAGGCTGACATCGGGATACTGGTTCATAGTGATCTAACAATCTGGATGCATACTGAGTAGGTTCGTACGCCTGCTCCGTCGGTTGCTGGTATAACGCATGCGAGCCGTATGAATTATTCTAGAAGAATAGAAAAAAATACAAATTATTATAATTATTAAACGTGAACTGATATATAATTGACACGGCTTATATCTCACGGAATGTAACCAAATTAAAACCTAGAAGAAGAAAACGACCAAAGATAATACTAGCTGTAAGTGGAATTCTGTCTTAAGGCAATTAGGGCATCGTGCTTTAAGGCAAATTGCTGGAACTTCCCGTACCAAAAATTATTATTTTTTTACAAACGATTAACATTTTTGAAAAAAAATTACTTCGAAAAAATAAGATTTTTGAGAAACTATAAATTTGACAAAAAATTACTTTTTTTTAAAAAATTTCTTACTTTTTTCGTTAGATCTCCGAAACCGCTAAACCTGCCCTTATGAAAATTTGATCAAATCTTGTCAATACAAGTAAAATGTTTTTTGAATTATTAAAATCGGACGCTGCGTTCTATTAAAAACTGAGGTACCGTTTTTGGCACTTTTTGCCCCATATCTTCGGAACGGCTAGACCTACCTCCGCCAAAAACTAATTAGCACGTCTCCTTATCAATACGGATCGAATGTTTTCGAAATTATTCAAATTGCTTCATCCGTGTTCCCGAAATCGTCGACGAAAATTTGTATCCGCACACACATACATACACACACACACACACACACACACATACATCCATTTTTTCTAAGGTATGCCAAAATATTCAGAAACCTCTGAAACGTAAAGATATATAAAAATTTTCATTTTCGATTTTTTTGCGATTACTATAACTTACCCTACGGGAAGTTAAAAATTCAAAAAACTCTCTTTCTCTTCCAATAATAAAGTTATAACTTAAAATTATTATTTTCTATCAAAACTATTAAACTAGTGTGTATATGTCATTTTTTAACTTGGTTACAAAAATACATTAAGAATAGTGATAGCAAACTAATTTTTTGTATTGAAAATAATTACCAGCAGCGGCGAGCTATTTTGTTGCATTACATGAGCTCCATAAGGAACAGGGCCCAGTCGTGATGGGGTATAAGGCCTATGGTGTTGTTGTTGTTGTTGTAATTGTTGCATATGCTGTTGCTGTTGCTGTTGCTGCTGTTGTAATTGTTGCTGCATTTGTTGTTGCTGCTTTCCGTACACTAATTGTTCGACATGCCGCCTGGCCTGCTGAAGTTGTCGTTGCTGGTCATGTTGGTCCCAAGCAGGTACTCTGGCTTTTTCTTGTGGGTAAGCCTGAAAATAACAATTTAACATCGTACAGAAAAACAATGAATTATAAAAAAAGGAAATAACAACCATTTATAAAAGAAACTTTTATAAATCTGACAACCCAGTGAATAAGTGGTTATGTAAATTTAAACGATATTGCAAGGCATGGTTTCAAAGTTTGATTACTAGTGTAAAAACACGCTTTCGAAATCAATTCTTTATATTACAATTATTATTACATATAAATTAATTCATTTACGCTTGTTTTCGCCCGATAACTTCTCAAGGCATAGACAATAATTTCTCAGTGCCTTACTGGGATGCCAGAATTTGTTCTAGTACACGGTAAAAAAATATATGATAATAAACTAAAATAAATTATGCTTTGATTTGATTTAATGTACTCACATATAACGATTTTAGCAAATATATCTATAATGAATAATCTCAACGAGAATTAAAGCATTAAATGAAATCAAGCCTTCGATATTACCAATTGAGTACAAAATGATGTCATTTCATTGTAGTATAATATAAACTAATCATTATAATGTAAATGTAAAAATTAATAGATATTAGTAATTAACAATCAGGATATCGTAGAATAATCCTATAATATATAATTAGTTTAATTAAGTTAACATAATTATGTTCAATAACCCATGATTACACATATAAATGAGTAAATATCATTGTTCAACAATAAATTAATTACTTGTTGCATTGACTGTGTGGCATTTGGCCACGTTGGATTTGCAGCACCGTTCGTTCTATGCTGCCGAGCAGATTCAGGAACCATAGCCGGTGATGTTTGTAGATTCGGTCGTTGATTCGTTTCGGGTGCGTGCGCGTGGTAGTACTAAAAATTATTAAAAATATATAAATATTTATTTATTTCTTAAAGAAGCAGAAGAAATTAATTAACAAGCAATATGAAGAAATAAAGCAGATTATGTTGAATGTTATCATACCTGTTGCAATAGGTCGTATTCCTGTGGTACGACCTGCAATTCGAGGCTATCCCTGGCTCCGTGTATAACACGGACGGCTCGTGCGTAAGTCAGCCCACCCTCGGCCGTCGATCCGCCGACCGGCATGCCCTGCACGCCGACCAACCGGTCGCCGGTGCGTAATCCTGCCCTAGATGCGGGAGTGCCTGGACGAACTGCTTTCACGAACACCGTATCCATGGGTTGTGCGATATCACTGTTGTCTGTTTCGTCCTGTAAAAATTAAGATCAACATAAGAAATTGAAATGAATGTCTTTAATACTATATATGTCTATAATATATATTAATATAAATATTTTCTATGAGATATAAAATCATGTAAAAAATTCGAAAAAATCAAAATTATATTTTATTATTTGTAATGTACTGAAAGTACTTTCCATGTACGTACATACGTGCAAAAGTAATCGTGAAATTTGAACACAATTTATATTATATTATAATAGGTGAATTGTAAAAAAACAAAACCCTTTTGCTACGGCAGAGCGCTTCCCGCAAAAATGTCGCTGCTATACGGAACAGCGTGCCGCTCAGTTGCACTTCTGAACGGACAGGCACAACGACATATTTTAAGATATTTCTACGATTATCAACAAAAATGTGTTAAAGAATAAAAAAATACGTTTCCCATGAACCAGAAATTAGAACAAAAGAATAGAATTCTCACTAGTTTAACTCATAGTAATTCTTGAAGCAAAGGCAGAGAGGCCGTTCAAGTATTACGTAAGCACTATAGGGGGGCGGGGGGGGTTATGGATTTGCTTATTTTGGGTTGACATGGGGGGCAGGAGAGTCTGGATGATGATTACGTCATAAGTAGTATTTTTATTTTTTTGCCGAATGGCAACCTTATATTGTCTTTGCCAGTACCAAAAATTTGAAATAAGTTTGTTATGTTCGTAAGATTAAAATAATTTTGTTACTCTATGTTGAATACCGTATCAGTAAAATCTCTACATCCTAAACCTATTTTCTTATTTTTAAAATTATAATTATAACCTAATAATTACAATATTTAAAAAAAACAGTACATTAATTGCAAAATATTTACGTAAGCATGGGAGTAGGGGGTAAGAGCTTTGCTTACTTTTGCTGACAAGGGGGATGGGGGGGGTAAATAATTGTAATAAATCTGCTTACGTAATATTTGAACGATCCCAAATACAACATGTCGTCCAAGGACGATATCCGTACACGCAGCACGTCATGTGGATGTCGTCCAGAAACGACATTCGTATCAAAAGAGGTAAATTCAATCTTAATTAAAACATATAAAACTTACGATGCACTCTTCTGGAGGATAGACAATGAAATGCCGTAAAGTGAAACCAAAGTCCTGCTGTCCATTCTCGCGCCAAAGAGTCAGAACACGAGGACCTCGCAACCGTCCACCGCCATCCAGATAACGACCACGGGGCTGAAATAAAAAAAATTAAAAATTAATATAAAGTAAAAAAGTTTCATATGCAGTTCAATTTAAAATATTTTTGCATCTAAATTAACATTAGCCTACTGCAAAAGATATTTCTTTTCCAATTGTATGATTAAAGATATTTTAATTATTTAAATTTTTTACCAACAAATTTTGATATGATATAAAACTGTAATATGAACATATAAAAATGATTGAAAATATATTACTCGCCGAAAACAAGTTAGGCAAATAAATCTACTGTGTAGTATAGATGAGAAATGAAACATGACATTTTATCAACATCTTGTGTTATTGGTTAAAAAAGTCTGAGGTCACAAATATATGCGATACAGTATAATTTATTTACGTAAACAATCACAAATTTCTTATCAATCCGTTCGTATTTAACAAATGATAATTTAAAAGTTAGCCGAAAGAAGTATTGACATGAATCAGTCATAAAATGGATTTAATAACATGATATATTACATTTGAAAAATATTAAATAATGCGAACCAATTATTTGTTAAAATTGTAATTCTACTCATTAAAAACCTAACAATAATATATAAAGACTGATGTTGAAAATTAATTGTTCCACATGATATCGTGTTTCAATTTTATTTTAGATTTGGGAAGGTTCCACCTTAGCCTCGTGACCTGATTCGCTTTTATAACCACAATCGCGTGCTGTGATTGCCATCCCTTCCTTAGCGTGTGCAGGGTTAAATCAACAAATTTCGCCCGATTTTCATGAACCTAAGTCATACGATCATATAAAGTGGGTTATTTAACTAGATGTGTAAATAATTTCCGAAAAAAATGTTACCAGTTCTTATACTTTATTCGCAGTGAATAAATTTAATTATGGGTCCATATCCAAAATGATGTTTTGTTATGTAATCATAGACCTTATAATATTATAATTATTATACAAAATGTGAAAGATCTATGTATGTAATTCAAAATAAATACTATTATTGAATGTTGCTAATATCAAGCAGTAGTGATGTCAATTTTCTCTTGAAAATATAGATCAAAATGTATTTCGAAGTAAAAATATCCTTTCCCGGCATTACTACAATAGGTAAATATATTAATAATATAGGATCACTTAATAATATATTAATAATATAGGATCACCATTAAGAAAAGGGCAAAAGTTAGGTTGCCTTCTAAATATCCGCGTTCCCATATAAATGATTACGTTTAAAATAATGTAGGCGTAGTTTGGCAATTTGGACACTGCCATTCTCAATTTCCATAGATGGAATCATTCCACTCTAGCTGTCACTTCTTCATTTAAATGGCCTAGTCATGAAGTCCGCGATGCCAAAGGGACCGACTATTTCGTACTGATAAAATTATGACCTCTGACCCGATTAATCGTATATGCACATTATCATGATATCAACATATTTTATTGCCAAACTTCCAACAAAATATTTTGTGCAGTTTTATCTTGAAGCAAAAGCTGAAAAAACTAGATGTCGTCTATAGACGATACTCATACACACGGGTCGCCAATGAAACAGTTTAAAAGCAATTTCAATTTCTAACCATGCCATTTATTAGTAGATAACGTAAAAGTATTGCTTTTTTCATCATAATCACACGTAATAATCAAATCTTATGGGTTCTATGAGCTATTGTGATTAATAACTTACAAACTACGTTTGTTTTTTTACAGATGGCAACCCAAACAGTTGTCACATCTCTGTATGATAAATTTTTATTACAATCTCTGTAATAGGGCAAGTATGGTGCAACAATGCCGGATGAGGGCTATTTTCACTTGAAAACATATTGCTATTTATATTTCCAAGTGAATATCGTTGTCACTGTTGCCTGACAACAGGCTGCTCGAAGTGGGTTTCGAACCCGGGACCTCTGAAACAAGTCCCATCGCTCTTAACATTTTGATTTGATTTGGTAGAGAAGTAGAAGTACAGTTACAGAAGTGCTCATCGTTAGTGGATTTCAAAATGTATTAGTTTAAAAAAACTGTTACTATTACTACCAGCCCCTAGCTCCCCTATACAAGTCATTTTCATTCTTCAGATTTGATTAAGCAAGCATTCATAAAATATTCAACGTGATTTGTTTCCTGTGTAAAAAATTTAAAGATACGAACCGTCATTAATTATTTTAAGTCATAAAATTAATTCATTTATCAGTCAATTCAGGAAGCGTTAAAGAGATCACACGTATCGGCAAGATCGCCGTTATAACTAATTCTCACCGACACATAGATGTTAATAGGAAGATTCAGATAGCGTTTTTTCTAATCGAATAATAATTTAAAATGATCTTCAACTCTATATTTGGAACCACTAACATGTACGATGTACATGTAAAATCGTAATTTCCAATGTTTATGAGAGAGTAATGTAATACATAGGTTGAAATAGAATAATAACAAATAATATGATCTACACCTATTTAGCCATCTAATAATGCCATAAGTAACTATTAATTATATTAACTATTAGGTCCCTACCACAACAAAGCCACACCCCAAAATTTCAAAAAAATCTTCTTTGTTCTAGTATTTTTTTTAACTTAATCCTACTATATACCATTGTGACATCATTCTAGATTTATAATCTTCCTATTTATTCATTTCAGATTACTAGAAGGGTTACAATCGTAGACACGGTCACTTGCCCATTTTTTGATTCCCCCCACTTCAACAACTGCTAATTTTTTCAAACTATTAACCATTTTTTTACCTTTTTCCTATACTCTTGCAACACTAATAAATGAATCATAAAAAAATAATAGAGAATAAATTTATTGCCTTTTATACGATGATTTAAATATGACCTAAAATTCATGCCTCTACACTAGAATGCCCCCTTAAATATGAGTACTAATGTGTGATGGATTTAGTTGCAAAACGATCAGATATATTCAGGAATTTTATTTCAAAAACTAATTTAAACCTCTTCATAAATATATAAATTAAGTGAAACTGGGTTTCTCGTGACTGACCTGACATCAAAATTTTCAGTGTTTAATTTCATTTTATGGTAACAATTACTTTTCGTGCTTATAAGTGCATTCGGTACATCATGTTAGATATCGATCTTGCACGGTCAGAACAACTAAGTAGGTTAATCACGTTGGAATAACAAGATCTTATTGTTAATAGGATAGAAAAGTACTATCTAATGATACACGGTCTTAAAAAGAATCAGAAATTGTGTTTCTGTTAACTTACGTATTATTGGTGATTCACAAATACTTAAATTGCTGGAAACGTTTGTATATCGAACAACTATCAAAAGTTTCTACAGAATTTGAAACCGAGCGCAAAAAATTGGATTCTGTCATGGAACCGACTGAACTACCGAAAGATATTGATACTAAACATGTAGGTGTAAGTATAACGCGCAACTTAGTGTTCAAAACCTCAATTTATAATAATTTAAGGGGTTCGTTTTGAATCAACTCTATCACCATGTGAAGTTTCATCAAAATACCAGAAGAGTCAACCTAAGGTGCTCCTTGTGAGTTAATTTCGATTCTAAATAATTTTATATCAATAAAATCTTCAGCAAAAAGATAATTTGGTTAGATAATTAGCAGTACAACCAAATTAAACTTTGGAAACAGCTCATGTGCCATCTTGCAAAATTATATTGGTTTTCTCAATATCTCGCCTAAGTTATAAAAAATATTTAATAGATTTACATATGTAATCTCAAACAATCTCAAATAATAAAAATGTTGAAGCATCATTAAAATTTATAACTACGCTTCATATTTGTGATTTTAATTATTCTTCAGCTCAACAAAAATTTCTTATTCTCATAAATCTAAATGCTTTCACAAATTTAAAAGTATATACACAAAAAATAAAATTGTACACGATTGTAATTACTTGTATTTATACGTGAAATCTATCTAATATGGCATCAAGAAAAAACGCAATTTTTTCTATCAGTTGTTATGAAAGAAAGCAAGCAGAAGATTATCAGTCATTATAAGATTAAAATCATATCGAGTATGATGATCCACAAGAGAAAGTTAATTATATGATTGTATTGATCTTCTGAGAAACCAAATTCGTTCAGCGGCACGAGAGGTTCAATGACATTGAAAAGTGATGACAGCTTTTGGCGTGAAATGAATTATATAGATCAACGATATATAATAATTTGGATTTTGTGCTCAGATATTACCTATTAGTGATTGAAATTATATTTTGCTTTATTTACACAATTCAAAGATTATGCTAGAATTTAAAAAACCTTATCTTTAAGGTAAATAATGACCGTTCATGGAAAAGTTTTACATTCCATGAGTATTATTGAGATGATAATTTCCAAAAATTTTATAACCCAAAATAGTCCATAGTCAATGTCAATAAGCGACCACTGGTAATTGGGCTTCCACGTGACTTAGTGGTTAAAGATTAGGTCTTTCAACTAAATCCCCGGATGTCAAGCAATGGTGAATTCGTGACATTGGTTTTCATTTAAAAGTATTGTTATGTCATCTAGCAATCACAATCATAAAAGGATGATAATACACTCCGAGCACTGGAACTCGGCAAGAACCAAGTGCCACTTCCACCTCTAAGGCAGCTAAGAAATTGAGAAAGAAATAAGGACTCTGTTACCACCAGACACTGGAAGAAGCAAGATCAATTTTCCAATATTTGTACGTTTTGAATATCTATTAATAATTTAATAATATTATATATCAGTTGTATCGATTTCTTCGTGAAATTTCAAGTAATGAAATAATTGTATTGAAATCGAGTTGTATTTAATTCATAAGTCAAAGTGATTAACACTCGAATCACAACAGTATAGATGAAAATGTTTCCAGATAAAAATAGCCGTTCCCGATAATTGATGGATGCATCAAATTAAAAATCAACTCAAAAATTGTAATTCACTACTGATGATAATCACTAAAAAAATATCATTTTAGAACACAGTTTCCACCACTTGAGAATAAAGTGCAGCAAAGAACAACTGTAGTCCCAATTC